TATTGATACTACCAATTTAAGAATTAAATGCAAGCAGTGTTAGCAACATTAATAGTAATTTACGTTGCTATGTTAAATTAATTGCCCCATCAAAACAAAATATTTAACGGATTCTAAATTACAGAATAAAGACCAAAATTTTTTAATTTTATTGAAAAAATCAAGAAAAATCATAAAATTTTACCTAGAAGTTAGGAAAAAGTCACGGAATTTTAGGACGAAGAATTTGTGAAAATACTTTCTCTTTGATTGGGAGAATAATTATTAATTTTATTAATAATGTTCGTGCTCGCGGTTGCTTGCAATTAAGTTTTATAAGCTTCAGTTTTCAATTGATAATTAGTAAGAGATTGATCATTCGTGTCTTCTTTTCTTTAAAATACTAAGAGCACCTGCTGTCCTATTCTGTAATTCTTAACGACAGAATCGATATCGTTATAGTATCGTTGCGATATTTCATATGTAAAAAAAAACTGCGCAACGACAATATAACAATACCAAACTGTCATTAAAAGTTACAAAATAGATCTACTAGGCTCTTATTCTTAAAAAGAAACGTACACGAATAACTAGGGAAATATTATAATACACGTTACATATATTTAGTATAGTATTTCCCTAGTTATTCGTATACGTTTCTTTTCAAAAAGGGGCTCTGGGCAAATACCAGTCTCTTTTCTATTCCTAAAAAAAAATTTGGCATCTAGAGAACAAATTTTGTGCGTTGCAGGCCTCAATTCGTGTGTATTTAACTAGAATAACTCCGAAGTTCACCTCTGGATCACAGATGACCTATCGTATGTACAGAGTTTTTGTAACTAAAAATTTTTATTTTTTTTTTTTATTTTAAACTAATTCTCATTTGTATTGCGGAAATAATTCATGAATCATTAAAAAAAAAATTTAATCCTAGAACAATATATTAGGTGTTGGAATTAATTCGTAGCGTTTTACAAGTGATGGGAAGTACTTTCATTAATGTATTTTTTAATGCTCATGTGAAATAAATAACATTCTTTCATTAAAAAACGCTACGAATTAATTCCAACACCTAATATATAATCCTTAATAAACACAATAGTTTTTGGCACTCTTGTGTTAAATGTTGTCCGTAGTATTATATATTATGTTATCTGTAATGTTATAAAAACATTTTTCTAATAAATTAATAAAGCTTTTTTAATACAATAATAGCGGTAATAAAATGCATTGTTTAAAATGTATATATGTAAATGCAATATATCTTCAATTTATATAGTTATTCATGCATATTAAAAAAACACCATTTTCTGATTATTAAATAACTAAATTTTTTGGATAGCCGACATTTGAACTATTTTTTCTTTTGTAGTTTGGAATGCCAACTTTAAGATATTGAAACATATTTCTCCTTTAAACATCTTTATTTCAGAGTTTTACATTTTTGTATGAAAAAGAGAGAGAGTGCATTTTTATTATTTTGTTAACTATATTTATAGTTATAATAATTTATATACAATTTGTTATAAATAACTTCACAAATACTTCACAAATATTTTCTAAAGATGTCAAAATATACGTAAAAATTGCTTAATAATTTTTATATACTTGTAAAAGTGATGAAAATTAATTTGGGATGCGAGAAACCTATCTACTTCTAATATGACATTTATTTGTACAGACGAATTGCTCGAAGAAAAATTCATCTCGCAATATTGCATTGATGTAACATGAACAAATCCAGAGGAAAATTTGTTGCAATGTGATATTGAATTCTACTTGACTGCATTATGCACATGAATGAGTTAAGATCACAGAAAATTGTTAATAAAGTAAAATAAAAATCACATCTGATTCATTCAAATTACAGTGGACGGAATTTTATTTTCATGCGTATATTTTATTATTTGAGAAGAGGTACGATTTATTTATCGTTTTTGGCTTTGAATTTTTAATACTTAAAATGATGTTTTTTTATTTTTATATTTATATAAAGTAGAATGCATATTATTGGAAATTAATAATAATTATATATTGATTAATATTTGTTACGTAATGGAGCAAACGTTTTGTCTCACATAAGTAGAAAATTAATTATATTAAATTAAAATGTCGCATAAAATGACACATTTATTATAAAATGGAAAAATATTTTATATAAAATAAAAAGAACTTCATAGAGAAAATAAGTTTATTGTAGCAGCGCGCGAATTTTGCAGAGGAAGAGAGAGAGAGAGAAAGAGAGAGAGAGAGAGAGAGAGAGAGAGAGAGAAAGTAGGTTTATTGATTCATATTGAATAAAAATTCCAATAAGAAACAGATCTCTCTCTTGGGAAATATTTTATGGATTGTAGTAATTTCTTTTTTCTTGTTTTTAAAAACTATGTCTTTTCATTGAAACATATCGCATACATAAAATATTTGCAGAGTCTTTTTTTCAAAATACAAGTACAATATTTTTATTTAAAAATGTACTCTTATTTGTTGTTTTTTCTAACTATAGCTCCAAAACATTTGCAAACGTATGTAATTGCCATTATAATTAAAATATATAAATAAATCATTGCACATGTAGCATCAATTAATTTTTTGACGAGTAATAAAAAAAAATTAATTATTTTTTTCTTTTTTTCTTCAAAATATATTTTAATAAATTCTTAGATATTCTTAATAAAAGCAAAAATATTCAAAAGTTAAAAAGACTTGCCACGTACTCTCGCCTCCGTTGCTTTCTTCGCTCGTCAAAAGAAAAATTCGAGCAGATGCGATCTTTTGCTCGACTTTTATCTTTAACTCATGGTACAGTTTTTATGAAACAACTATAATATCGATATTGTCTCGATCTACTTATATCGCAGAATATAGTTCTTTCTTGAACACATCTAGTCTGTAGTGCGTGCATTATTTAGAGAATGAAACGAATGTAAAATTTAAAAGATGATACGTACTAAAAGATAATTTAAAAAACAATTTTGATCACGCGAATCGTATTTTTAACAAAAGGAACTTTTTTAAAATTATTATAAATCTTAAAATTTTCTTTATGTATATATATATATATATATATATATATATATATATAGTCATAATTTTGAAATATGTACATAAAACACAAGTTTATGCAAAAATATAATTAATAATCAAAATTTAATTCCAAAATTTAATTTCAAATTCTTTAAATTATTTAAAGGTAATAAAATAATTGTTTTAACTCCTCTCGTAATGCTATTAAAATTTTTTACATTAAGGGAAGATCTTTCTCTATCAATATACGTTATGTGAATGAAAAATTAAATGTGAAATTGATATACTCTTATCGAATAAATCGATAAGAATTTCTCTTAAAACTGAAATACATATAAATTATTCAAAAATCCTTATATGTAGGTACATATAACACGCTGTCACTGCTCATGTTCATTTTCTTTCTCTTTTATCTATATGTACCTTTTACGGAACTGCGACGATTGTTCAAAGAATAGAATAGCCCTGGAGATGACCTTAACCCATTCGAAATAGCTTCTGTTCCTTCGTCCCTCTCTTTGAGAATGGCAGTTGCAATATGTAGAGAAACATCGTTCGGATAAATTATAGATGGTGTTCTACGAGATTATCTTGCATCATGCACGCATCCTATTGGGATGACTGATCCGCATAGTTATTTAGGCTTAGTGAACACACAAACCTGAGCTCAGTATAACGCGGACACTCACGTGTATTTACACATCATACATACTCACATGTATTTACACATATATACACGTTTCTGCAAATGCAATAAGCTTGTAAATGGAATAAATAGAAGATACAATCTAATTTAAAAACAGTAATTAGAAGAATAATAGCCAGACTTACGTTGATGTAAATGGAACAGAATAGGGAATGTTGATGTTCATTTTTTATTTATATTCTTTAATTAAAAAAGATAGCAAATACAATATTCACAATTGAATAAACGAGTAACGTCCTCGGTGTATTTACGATCTTATCGATTCTCTAACACTCGCGATGCATACAAGAAAGGTTTAAAAATTTAAAGAGACATCAAGATATGGTCAAAAGTATTAACAGTTTAACCTTTTTGATCTTTTTTGCCAATTGCTCAGATTTGATACTTTAAAATAAATATTTTATTTTTCTCATATAAACGTACAGAATTTTTTGTATATAACTTTAGTTAATATTATATTGACTTTTTTTATGTATGTATTTATTTTTGCAATATTTTTCAAATTTTTTTGATAATTCAAAATGAAATCGTATTACATGAATAGCAATATATATTTTTAAAATATAATAAAAACAATGCAGTTATATATAATGGAGAAACAAGTCTAGAAAGTTGGAAAATTAATTATAATATATTATAAGTAACTATATAATTAGCTATATAATTAACAATATAATTACTATATAATTAACTGTACATAGTTACGTTCTGTTAATTATAATATGTAATTATATTTCTAAAATTTTATTTTTATTCTTGAGATTAACAAAAGTTCTACTATAATATTAACATCTCTTCATCAGTCAAGTTGAAAAAATTAAAATATTGTATTTTTCTTTCTTTATTATAAATATTGTAAAGAATTATTAAAATGACATGATTTGAGAGATAAAAATTAAAATCTATATACATATAATGTATCTTTATACTAATCATATTTAGATTCCTAACATATAAAATATAATACAAAATTAACTCGCTAAGAAAATTTGTATCGCACATTTATCATTAAATTATGTTTCAATCAAATCTGATATCTTCATGACAGAAATAAATTGAACAAATAAATATCATTATTCCTATACAGAGCGCTAAAAGGAAGTTATTGATATTATTCGTATATTTATATTTAATTTAAAATCACTTTTTTATACAATTTATTATTTTATATAAAAACTTTGTTATTGTTTATATTAGTTGTAATATCTTTCTCTTGGAGAAAGATACTAATAACGATATAAATCCAGAAATTTTTTGTATAAAATATTTATAAACTATATAAGAACTTCTGCTTTTTTCAAATTTTCAATTTTTTCGTCGCATTTTTCAAACGTACGTGATGATGTGGCAATTCCTGACAATGTCTTCATTAGCATGGACCGTCGTGCTTGTAAGCAATATCTGTAAAAAAGAGAACGTCTCATTATTCAGCTTTGAATGTGCGATCGGTTATTGATCGAGAAATGCTTTTGTCTCGAAAACAAACGTATCTCCTGTATTCTCTACATCGCGTTTCAACACACGAGTATGCATGAGATATGATCTTAATCAAAACACTCAACATTGTCAACGTCACATACGAATGTCGCGATTTGTCCTACGACGTAATTTCACGTACAGCTAAATAGAATTTATCTCGCGAGATTGTTTCTTCCGTTTGACACGCACACGTAACGAAGTGTACAACAGATAGGCCCGAAAATTACTGTAAAATTATATTTTTCCTGTTATGTCAAAAATCCACGTCTGTGTATCACAAATCTCGAAATTACGTGAAGTGCGTGTCTACATAATTTTACGCGACATAAACAAGTTAATGAGCGAAGAGAATTTCAAGTGAAAATGCCTTCGCGTGAACGCGAACATTATGAAAGGAAGAGTTCGTCCGGAATTTATTATAGATATGGTTTACAAATCTCACCTCTTTTCGGAGAGCGTAATTTAGCGCACCAAAGGGCCTCTGGACTCACATAGGATCTACCGTCGGTGCCGCATACCGGTTGCCTGTGCTCTTCTTCTGGTACCGAACCACAAGGATGGTCATCCGGTCCGGAACATGATCCATGATGCTTCAAAAATACATCTAAGAGATAAAATGTTAACAAACAGTTGGAAAATATTTTTTTTTTTTGACATATTTTAAGTGTATAAACAATTATAATTATTTATATTATTTCTCTTAATTGACATTTTATGTGTTCTAAAGTTTAAAACACATAAAATGTCAATTAAGAATCTAAACGGTCCATTCAATTTTTTGATTTAATGTAACATGAATATATTTTAAAGTATAACACACATATTATGTAAAAAATTAATTCAAAAATGTAACGCTTTGATATAATTTGGAAACAAATTGTAGAAACACATTTCTTTAGTAAAATTAATATTTATAATATGTTAAAATAATATTTATCTTTTATTCATTAATCTTAAAATTTTTGTTGTGAAACTACATTATTTTTATATTATTTGTTTACTTACTGCTCATAAAATACTAAAAAACACTATTAAATATTAATTTAATACAAAATATTCAAATAATATGTATAGTCACATTGTATTAAATTAACATTCAAATATGTTAAAAATTGAATATAAAAATAAGAATCGGTTTTATAACACAAAACACAAAATATTTTTATTATGTATCATTATTGTGTATAATAATTTGTGCAAAATCTATATAAAAACAGAAAACTTAGATTTCGAAATAAAGTAATTTTTTAAATTTTGGCATATAAAAGTCGTAAAAGTCTATTTCTGCACATGTAAATTTTACCGAAATTTAAATTTTCTGTGCAGATTTTTTTATCTTTTTTTTCAAAGCTCACTGAATAAATGGAACTTTATGAAAATAAATATAAATATGAATTTCGAGAGATGCTTGTCAGCGATGTGTTTAACAATTGGACCGGCATACTTCTATGCTTTTTGAAATAGCTGTCTCTTCGGCGTCGAGTCTTTCTCTTTCCATCTTTCTTACGACGCAAAACTCACATTTATCGAGACGAGTATGGCATTGCAAGTGATGTATACTCTGATACGTGCTACCGTCGTTCCCGCAAACCTCGTCGTCCGCGGTGAAGGCGTCATTCGCGTATTCGCCATTTGGCAAGACCGTCGTATTTGTATGTGCCTCTATGCAAGATTTGTAGCTGTGTGTGTCGCACTCTCCGTTGAAAATTACGTTCAGCTCTGAATTTAAAAATGTAAGCTACATTCGCAGACTTTCTGGGGTAAAAAGTAAGCTATATACATTCGCACACTCTCTAAATTAAAAAGTCTACATTCGCTATATTCGCAAACTTTGGGCTAGTATTGAATAAAAAAAGCGAGCTTATACGATGCTTATAAGTGATTAGTTTTTGCATAAATGATATCTATATTTTTTGCATTAAATAATCAATCAAAGTTATCTCAAAATACATTCATTTTTTAAAATGAAATAAAAATAAATTTTTGTTATATAAAGATGAATTACTCTTACATTAACGACAATTTACTATCGTATAAAATAAAATTTTATCAGTATTTTAACATTACAATTGTTTGGAGAAATCGATTTGGAATTCCTGAAAGCATCCTTTGATAAAATGTGTAAAATTATTGATATCTTATATAATAGAATATATTATTACATACTTGGGCGATAGCAGAGAAAGATGAAAGGATTTGGATAAGTGATTCCGTCGGATGCGCAGACCGGATTCCATTCGTATCTCGTTTTCGCGATGCGACAAACCGCTGTACCATATAACTGATGAACAAATTCCACGCGACAACCACCATCGTGAATAATTTGCAATCCTAGAAAAATAAAATAAATTTTAAGGCTGTGTGCCTCATGATTAGTCAAATTCACTTGCAATAAATATGATACGCAAGTAATATTTTTCAACGAATCTTTACATGATTTTTATATTTATAATAAAATTAAATATATATTTGTAATAAATTAATTTTTCGAATCCTGGCTGAGGTAATATTTTTCGCAATAAAAGTTTTTTATTTGAAATAGGGGGTTATATATATGTATACGCGAATGTCTGATTGTTTCGGGTCGCGATTATTAGCATTTCAGATTGATTGTGTTTAAATATTCGAACGTTTCGGCGCATAGTCACATCTGAAATAAACTAAATTCATGAACTAAGAATATTATATTATTCGGGACATCTAACTTTGATCCTTGGCGTTCTCAACCATATTTATGTTGTACAATAAAATAAAACTCGGTCGGATTTTATTATATTTCCAAATTAATTTTTATAGCGAATTTTTACGAAAATATAATTACGAATATTTTATATTAATCTCAATTTTAAATCCGGTTTTACGATTGTCACTTAAGTTTAATTTTTATATTTTAAAATTTATCTCAATGTCGTGTTTAGTTTCGTCGCGAGATAAATTTCTGGTCGCCGTAATTTTTCTATTCTAAGATAATATCATATACAATAAATCTCGGAAATATCTCGCTACGATCGTTCCGTGTATTAATAGAAAATGCAGTCTGAATCTGCAATTGTCCGCGTCAGGCAACTATCTTGATTCGGATGTAAATCGTGATCCATCGCCCGCAGAGGGATAACCGGGTTATGCCGACGAAACATTTAGTTCAAAGTGGGACTCTAAATTAATTCAGCACCAACACGACACAAGACTTAAGAGAGTGCGAAGGTACTAGCGCACGAAGGAGTTATTTCCGACTACTTACTGGCAATTACGCGAGTCATAACTAAATGCTTCCGCATAACTTCCCGTCATAATCCCTTACCGGAATTATATCGTTGCAGGCACTTGAGCTGAGCCGCGTTTTGATAAGTGTGTCCGTTATTAGCGCAGATCGGATTTATGCCGTAATGTTCGGTTCCACCTCGGTAACATGAATCGTTCTGTGGACAGTCCGTCATCGGCACAGCTGTTAAATCTGAAACAGATCACAGGACAAAATTCATGATTGAATGGGCAGTAAAAATTAATTTGCTCATGATTAATGATTAGCCAAAGTATATAATCGAAATATCAATACGTTCGCATTTTGTAAGTCGACATGGAAAATGGTCATCTTCGGTTTTGCTGAAATACCTATCTAAAAATTTATAGCATTTTCCATTGAGAAAATTAGTTCAACACTGCACATTGAGTGTAATTAAATGCAAATTAATTTATCAATTTATATATTTTCAGTGTTAATAAATAATTTAATCCTTTTAATTACATACCTTTTGTTGCCACGATAACCTCATAACGTTAAAAGGATTAAATTATTTATTAACATTGAAAATATCGATTTGTATTCTATTGTACTAGTGTTGAACTAGTTTTTCTAAAAAATGTTATTAGATAGATACAGACCTAAAAATATTTTTGTTGGACCATCAAAATACAGTACAGGACACCCAAACGTGATGATGATGATGATGACAATGTTTTAAAAAGTTTTAATGTTCTAGCAAGTAATTTAAATGGTTTACTTGAAAAGACTACAATATAATATATATGCAAGTACATATATAGTACATATATATTAGTAATTCAAGATTGAATTATTTAAAAGCAATGAAGATCCAGCTTCAATTGTAATAGGCATTTTAAATTGCTAGTATTGATTGTGTTTCTTACATTTGCGGTCTAAAATAAAGATTTTTAATATAATTTAAGCGTTTTATTTGATTATTTGATGGTCCAAACAAAATCATGTTCGAATATCATTGTTGTAAATATCATTGCCGTATCATCTAACTAAATTTTGAAATATTTTAGTAAATTCTTTCCATGTGAAAATTAAGACTTATTTATATTAAATTAAAAACTAATAAAAATTAAAAATATGTACAAAAATATAAAATTAAAAGAGAGACCTTCAAGAATAAATCTAATACAGAAAATAAAAAAGATAAGAGCCCAAGCAGTTATTAGTTCGCAAATAAAATATATTAAAAATCTGTAAATTAATTTAATATCTCTGCAATAAAATATATTAAATTATCTGTATAAAGAGTCAAAGATGCAACGTATAGTAAATAGTGAAAAATATTTCTCTCAATAAATAGAAATTTTTAATAAATTCAGTAATTTTTTTACGGAAAAAAGAGTCGATACAGATTAATATTATCGTTATTAAATTTTTGTTTTAATATTGTAAAATTAAATGTATACATCAAATATACGAAAAATGAGATGGATTCATATTATCTACATTTACCTCTGGATTGCTTTTGACGAACGCAAAATAAAGACTGCATATTAGTATAAATCTTATGGTCCGAACCACAAACCGGATCATAATACAGATCGACGTTACAGTATTTCTCCTTTTCCAAGCACGGGCCAGAGTGTAAGGTGGCAACTAAAAAGAATGTTAAATCACCGAAAAAAATATTAAGTAAAATTTTATAAATATGTAACCTTTTTTGCAAGATTTTACAATGCATTTTAATGTATCATTATTATCTCAAAATCTCATTTTTATCCCAAAATTTGGCATTATTAATTATTAATTTTTGTCAATATACAACATATGGAAATTAATACATTTTAAGAAATTAGTGACATATTTAAGAAACATTTTGCTATTTTGATTAATTTGTGTTTACACATAATACTTTATAAAACTTTTAGTAAAATATTTATAATAATATAATTTATAAATCACGCGCGCAACTTACATTAATACAACATTTCATTGTAATTCCCAAATAACAATACATATTTATGCATAATTAATTTTTGCTAGTTGAAACAAAAAGATTAACTTACCGGTTTCGCGATTATGGTGATTTTTACAATCTAAATAAAAACTATTAGAATATGTCACGCCATTGTCGCCACATACTGGACCGCCGTATATATCTGATTTGTCAAAAATCGTACAGTTCTGATATAATGCTCCCTTGTCGTCTGAGGTAAGCGCGATACACATCCTGATCACTGCAAGATTTTTAATTTTTTTATAAGTCGTTTTTACATTTTCTCAAAAAAAAAAAATCTACATATCCGCGAGTGAGATTAATTAATAAAACTCATATTAAACTCGGCAAGAAATGTATCAACTCAAATTACCAAAAAAAAGAAGATATTGATATAAAACGTAACGTGAAACTGCAAACGACATTATGCTACAAATGCAGTTTTTCGCTTGTTGAAGAATTCTTCTCGACTATGTCCGATTGTGCACCTGCACCGGTTTTTTTTTCCTCGATTGAATATATCATTATGCATTCCTCTCGTCGTAATAATCAGAGAAATTCGATATCGAATACGTGTCACTGCCAGGCAACGCTAGCGAAATCAATCGTAACAATGCGTCATTATTGATCCTTCGTCACCAATTTATCCCGCCGATTTAAACGTGATCTGTCATGTAAATTAATATTTTGTCGCACACACGTAAAAACACGTCATGAATAAACATGTTTTACGTAATATATTCTCTTATCGGCAAATTAGTCAGCATTAAAAAAGGTGACGCGTAATAGCAAAGAACGTAATAAAAAGAAAGTAATAAAAAGAGAGAGAGAAAAAGAAAAAAGAAAAAAAATAAAACTAATTATTCTTTTAATAATATTAATTATTTATTAATTATTAATATTAATATTAGTATGTATATGTAAATATTCTTTCCTTCCTTTTGTATTTCCTTTTCTTTATTTCTATATACAGGATAGATCATTTTAATCGATACACTTGAATATCTCGAAAGGAGAAGTTTTTTCAAAAAATCTTTCAGACAAAAGTTTTATGGTTCCAGGACGGAAAGAAAATGGTGAACTTAGTTGACCTTAAGAAAACGTCCTTAAGTCAGGTGAAGATTGCATGTTTTTGAATGAAATCTTCAATTGTTTATTGCACACTTTTGTAGTTTATTTCAAGAGCTTTCCAAAACGCTACAATAAAATATTTTTTCTTTAAGTGCATTTCGAGTTATGAGGTTTGAAAGTTACGATATTGCCGACATTTGCATTATTTAAGTCATCTAAAGTGTCTGATTGACAGGTAAAACCTTTTGAATGTTGCTCAAAGTCATGATCTTGATATCATATATCAAAGTCAAGGCCAATGAAGATTATTTCTCTTATTTTCATTTTTGCACTAAAAATTCATTTTTACTTTCCCATCCTTGCTATGAAATGAGTTCCAAAATTGAGCTTCAAGGGGAAAGTATTGTATATGAAATGTGTTCTTCATAGTATAATTTTGTTCAAAAAGTTATTCAAAAACCCAATCTATTGAATTTCTAGAAAAAATAAAAATTTTGCAAAACATATATGTGGGATATTCTCGGAACAATGATATATAAATGAATTTTTAACTGATATTTAAATGCTTTAAACATGCTAAATGCTTTTAACTGATATTTAAGTGCTTTTATGTGTGTGTAAATATTTCGAGATATTGGAAGTTGGAATGTTTTTTAAAAATTTAAGAACCTGTATGAATATTTCAGGAATATTTAGCATTAGCTAGATTCTTTTACAATTTGTTCCACTTCGTACACGGAAATAAAAAAAAGGAAGAATCAAAATGCAACTAGACAAACATGCAATAAAATAAGAATGAAATTATTTTGTAATTTTTGAAGATTTATTTACTAATTTTTTTCTTATAAATATATGTATAAATGTTGATGATATAAGAACGAGTTGCATTATCAACAAATAATTATCTTTATTTCTGGACAACATTATGTCCAAATGTGGACATAAGATGTCTTAAAAACGTAAAGATTACTTTATAAGACATCATATTATAAGACGTCTTAAAGATTACTTAGTCTTTATAATGCAGTTCATTCTTTTGCTCGTATTTTGGACATGATGTTGTCTGGGTTAAACATACAAATGTCTGAAAGACATCTAAAAGACACATCTTAAAACAGACGTCTTTAAAACTTTTCTTTAAGATTTTTTTTCCAAAAGACGTTCTTCAGAAATCTTTCGGATTTTTTATATTATATATAAATAAAATTTATAGTCAATAATGTAAATTATTATACATGCTCCAAAACTTGAATAATATTCTCGGAATATTTTTCGGAAATGTTTAAAAGACATCTTTTAAACATTTTTCAAACATTTTTAAAAGGTGTCAGAAAATTATTTTGGAGCATGTGTAGCAATTTACATTATTGACTACAATTTTATTTATAGATATATGTATAATAATATCGAATGCATGTGACATAGTCAATTTGAATAAGATATGTAATACATATTTATATGTTATATCTGGGATATAAAAACATTGAATGTCAATTAATAATTATTAATTGACGCATCACGTTGTATATTGTTAGCAACAATCAGTATCGCAGAGGTGGTAGATGGTCGGTAAAAGTAATATTCTGCATTATCACTTGACAAAATAAATTTTACCCATTGTCGCTAACAATATACAGCATGGTGCGTGTTTACCTTTCTGTTTATTCTGGTCTCTAAAAGTAATCTATGCGATAAATAATTAGTCGATAATACAGAGATTTTAGGATTTTAGGATTCCCTTAAGGCAATGCTGGGATTTACTTGCACATTTCGGTCGATTTTCAGTTCCTGCTCCTTATTTTAATTTTACCAATCCGTACGCAAAAACAAGCCTTTTAGGCCAATTACCAGAGCCACCGACGAGATACTATTAAAGACCGTCAGCAAATTTTCGACAGTATAAAAAGGGCCCCAAGAGCCCGAAGGTAATTGAAGAATGCTGACATTATTGATAATTAATATAAATTTGTTATTATTAACATAAATATTTAGCTCATATATTATTAATAAAATTCATGATTTTTTATTACATAAATATTCCATAAATATGCATACTTGTAAAGCTATAATATTCTATATATTGCAGAAAAATTACAATTTTTTCCCTTCAATTATCATCTCTGTTGATAATCAAACTTTGACGATCATTGAAATTACAATTTTAAAGAAAAATCAAGTATTATTGAGTTCTAAATGCATAAATACGTCTACTAATAAACTAATAAATTATAAAATTAGTACAATATTATCAATTTTTAATTCTTAATTACTTCAATATTCACAAGAACGCGAACTCCCATAAGGATGTCGGTCTTTAATAGTATTTCGTTAGTATCGGAGTCAAAATCGAGCTAAAAAGAAAATAATCGAGCCAAAAAGCTGTTTATTGCTTTAAACGCTTTATTTAGGCGTAAATATTATAGATTTCAAGCAAATATATGAGGATGAAGACGTGCTTAAAGCTACAGTGAATGCAAAAAGTATTTGTACAAGGAAATTTTTGTAAAAAGTACTTTTGTAAGTAGTCTTATTTATAGAAAATAAACATTAATTAGCAATTTTATACAATGAATACATTCTGTATTAACATAAACGAACGAACTTTGCATGTATTTCTAATTTTAGAAGCCAAATTTCTCAATTGTACGAATCCTTTTTGAGCATCCAAACAATACAACTTTTAATTTTGGCTTATTTTTCAGATGATGTATTTTCTATAATTAATACACATCTTTTTGATATATATAATTTTAAGAAACATACAAGTACAATCTATTTTATTTTTATGAATAAATTGTTAATTACCCAGCAAGAAATGATCGTCAATTAAATGTCGAATCGATATCAATTCGATGACTCTTTCCTCACTAGATTTACTTTTTAAAAATAAAGTTTCTTTTTACATATTTTCTCTGTACGAATACTTTTTGCACTCACTGTATATATTTTCTCTTACAAATACAATGTGATTAACATTTTGCCTTCACAGAGTCTTTTCCAAAATCTATATAACATCTAAATCGTACACATGATTTAGTTTAATGCTACATATAGTCATAATATACTATCATTAAGAGACCAAAAAAAAAGATCTTCATATTATATCAATTTTGTAAGGATAGTCTATAGTTAAATATCTTCTATAGTTAAATTCTCGATATTTTTGTCGTCAAGCAATAAAATGAAATTGATAGAAGATTTCTCATTGTTCAGTGAGAATCATAATATGTCAAGATGAAACAGTTATCATGATAAGAGAACACACTTTATGTAGAAAGAAAAACATAAAGTATATTAAACAAGGAAAGATTCAATACTAATTTCACAACGCGAAGCAGGTTGATATTTATATTCGATTCTTACATTTAAGACTGTCTTAAATACAGTCTTAGCGCGAATAGTGTCTCCCCAAATGCACCCTGTACTTACGTACTGTATGTACTGTGTGTTTACTCTTAGCAAATTGCACACACCATATTATCCCTTCCACCATGGCCGCGAGGCACCTCACAGGATACCACCAAATACGACCAAATACGACACCGCGCGCGAAAGATCCCGAGTCCGCTAATTGGTCGCAACAATGCGACTGCGCACCTTGTGTCGCGTATCGATCGGGATCCTACTGACTTCTCGTCCTTTTCCGTGACTAACCGTCTACAAGGTAAGACATCCGTGATCCGACATCCGACCAGCGATAGCGGCAACTTATCGCTTTTCGATTAAGTGAAGTCGTGAAAAATCGAACGTGCTCTCGAGAGATTGTTCAGCCAGGGCGGAGATGCCTCAGTCCGAGTATTGCATTATCCGGATGACGCAGAGACTATCTGAGGTGAGATTTTGAAAGTCGAATTTCATGAAGTCGCAACGTGGCATAGGATATAGAATCACGCTCGTGTTCCGCCGTCGACACGCTATGCGTTAGTGATGGGTACATTACGTTTCACGCATGATGCGCATGATGCATCATTTAGCCTTGTTTAATGTTCGATAAACAAGGATGAATGATACATCATGCGAGAAACGGAACGCAACCTTTGTAAATTTTATAAACTCGCAACATGGCAGAGGATCACCCTCGTTTTCCATCGTCGATGGGTACATTCTGTTTCACATATGATGCACCATTTATCCTTATTTAACATTCGGTGAACAAGGATAATGATGCACCATGCGTCGCATCATGTGTGAAACGGAATGTACGCGATGTTAGTGTGAAGTCCGCCATAAACGGCATATTTTGGTGCGGTGAATACGGCGTAGCCGGCGCCAAGCGTGAAAGACTCCTGAAGATTCCCGAGCACGACTGCAAGGGAGTAAACCGGGGGATAAATTCGAGTTCTAAGGGCGAGTCTCCTGGAGATCGCGATGAGCAGTTGTGGGACGCGTTTCACTTAATCACTTTAATATTGTTTTCAGATATTAAACAAGGAAATAATACTCGCGAGAGTTGCGAATGTTAAATGGAACGTACCCAGTGTCGTACGATTTCTAGCATGTACGGGAACGAACGCCTATTTTTTGTTGAATAGTATATTCTTAAAACGAATATATTCTTAAAACGAAATTAAAAAATCCGTTGCAAAAGTACGTATCTCCTTATATAGCCATCCAATCGCTTTGTGACCTAATAATTTTTGTCAAAACTCGTCGAGAACTGTCAAAGAACTGTCGAGAATTTTGATCAGAACTACCGAAACTATCAAGAAAATCTTTGGAAATTTTTCTAAGTCTGACGTCGAAATTTTTGAAAGTAAAATTAATAATGAAAAGGGGACTAAGAACAATAGCAATATTTTGCTACTTTAATCATCAATTACAATATACATTACAAATATTTCGACCCTCTATTAGGTCACTTTCAATGTTATTGGTAAATAATAAATAATTATGTCCTACTAACGGAAAATGTTTCTTCTGACAAAAAACGTTTAAGTACACGCTGCATCTCTAAATTAGAAACTAATTAAAATTGCAATTAAAAAGTAGATTATTTAGTAGAATATTATTTAGTAGAATGTAAATATGCTACTTGTATTTAAATATGTTTTCTGTCTTTGGTCTTTTACAATTGCGACATTTATTAGTAGAACATGCGAATTTTATTTCAATTAGTTTTATTAGAAAAAACATTTTAAAATCGCGATTTTAATTAGTAGAATTTAGAGATGTACTTATACTTTTTTGTCAGAAAAACATTTTCCGTTAGTAAGACATAATTATTAGGTGTTGGAATTAATTCGTAGCGTTTTACAAGTGATGGGAAGTACTTTCATTAATGTATTTTTTAATGCTCATGTGAAATAAATAACATTCTTTCATTAAAAACGCTACGAATTAATTCCAACACCTAATATTTATTGTTTACCAATAATATTGAAAGTGACCTAATGGCGGATCGAAAACGTAATGTATATTATAATGACGATTAAATAGTAGCAATTAAGATCTTACTGTGAGCATTATTCAATATATAAAGGCGAATAATGCTCAACTATCCATAACAAGAGTAGTACATACACAATGATGATTTTTATATATTACAATTACTATGTTAATCAATTATATATTTCATCAAGTTGTCTTTTAAATCAGTAGTTGATTTTTAATTTGTATCAAGTTTAATTGAGAATGGCCCAATTGGGGTTGACATGTTTGTTAGAATAAACTTTGGTTTTTTAATAACATAGCATTAAGATCCACTAGCTTGGCCCGTAGCCCTGTACTTATTATTAATTTTATAAATTATTTTTATTATTTTATTCATATATATAAATGAATGTATAATTACAGATACCAATGGCGAATCAGTAACCTGCTCCAAATGAATCATTTTCTTTGCCAGCCAATATGCAGATTTTCATCGATACCTAAAACAACCGAGGAAGAAGGAGAATTTTGATATATTCTTTTCAACAAGTGTTCTGCTATGTTAAGGAAAGGATGGCGATAGAAAAACGATAATATTCTCCAGAATGATATAGACGATATAATAAAAATTAACCAATAACGAACATGCATGGCAGAGGTTTTTAAATGGGTAGCTCTTCAACGTGAGAATGTGGCAATCTCAAGCTGCGCAGCAGCTTTTGGAGAGGCAGCATCTAAATATTCTCGTGCGCGTGTTTGCTATTGGACGGGGTACGTTGATTCTTTATAATTCTGTTTCTAGAAATTTTAATCCTATTGATCTATTCAAATATACACACACACACACACACAGGGTGGCAACAAATTTCGACCCCACTCGTCCTGAGCAGGACTAAACTATATCAAAAAGTCCTCTACTATTTTGTAATGGTTAACGATTACTAAAAGTTAGATTATTAAAAGATATTAATTACTAAAAGTAAAATATTAAATAAATATTGTTCGCTAAATATTGTTCTTCAATAATTTTTTCAAATACTATCAACTTCATAGAAAATCTGCAAGAGATAAAAATTATTTTCTTCTCATAGAATTCTAAGAATTTTTTCAAAATTTTTATTATGTTTTTAGTATTGCCTTTTCTTATGTTTACCACCGTGAAAAAATATGGTATTAAAAAATTCTGAAAAAATTTTCAGAACTTTATACAAAAAAAATAAATAATTTTTATTTTTTGCTGTTTTTTTTATAAAGTTGATAGTATTTGATTTAAAAAATTATTGAAAACCAATATTTTGCGATTTTTAGTAATTAATATCTCGTTAATCATTGCGAAAATTGCAAAATAATAAGAGGATTTTTCGATTCAGTTTACTCCGCTCTATCTATACAAGCGATTGGCCAAAACTTACGGGACATCCTGTGTATATGTATACACACACACACACACACACACACACACACACACACACACAGAAATTTTAACCCTATCTATTCAAATATACACACGCGCGCGCACATACAGGGTAGCACCAAATTTCAGCCTTACTCGTCCTGAGCAGATAGAGCGGACTAAACTATATATGTGTATGTATATATGTGTATGTATATATGTGTACATACATACACATATATATATATATATGATCATAGCATTTTAGTCGACATGATTAAAAAGTTCTAAAAAATAGATAATTTTCATAGAAAAAAGAACTTGACAAATGAAGTCATCAAATACCAGAGACAAATTTTTTTTAGTAGAATGTTACTCGTAGTAAGAAAATAAGTTACATTTTGAGTCAAATAGACCCAAACAAATCAGAATTAAATTGCTATATGGTCTTTACAACGTTATATTTAATATATTATGCTTTTAGGTATGAACTACCGTTTAATCGACATGATTGATCATAGATCGCTGTGGAAAAAACGTTAGCTTTATTATCGACTTTGAGTATGTCGACTGATAGTGGGAAAGCCAACGAGAAGTATAACGTTACTCGATGTGAAACCTGCGATGGATTCCTGCGATAATATTAAAGGTCGGAATTTTCTTTTTTATAAATTACGGTGCACTTTTTTTACTTGATAAATTTTTTAAATATTAATGTTTTAAACAGTCTAGTTGGTCTTAAATGCTTGTATAATTCTGTGTGAATTTATATATTTTTCAGTTTTAAAAACAAATCTACTAAAGGTATTTTCCAATTGCATATCTCTAGACACTTCGTGCACACGGCGACACAAGTTGCGTTCCAATCGTCGACATAACGCTACACATCTGTACTCAGTCGAGGGCTGTGTAAGCTTATGTTTTCTAGTGACAATTACATGTTATTAACTGCGGTGGCTTAAATGAGAAGAAGTTGAGTGGCCGGCACTTTTACTTTTTTTAATTTAATATAGGCTACATTTAAAAAAAAAGCTACATTTAATTTAACTCTATCCGAAACAATCTCAATCATGCACAGCGTACACATTCTTCCAATTGAATCGTGAATACACAATGAATACACTTTGTGTATTCCTACGTTTGTGTTAAGATGTGTTAAGCAATTGGAAAACACCCTAAAATACCGAATTAATATTTTTTGCAATAAAAATTATTTATAGATTTTATATATCACTCAACTCACTTATTAAGATCATTTTAAGATGCGGAAAAGCATCAAATTGTTAAATTGCTAGTCAATTTAACAATTTAATACTTTTTTCTGCTCGTAATATTACTGCGGTAGTTTAGTAGAGTTTGCGTTTTCAAGACCGAAAAATCATTTCGGTGCTCATTTTAACAAACTACGTACATAGTATGTATATAATCACACAGAATTATACAAGCATTTAAGATCCAATTAAATCGTTTAAGGCATTGATTTCTGTAGGTTGTTTCTCACAGATACAATCCCATTTTACGTCGCCTAAATAGATGTTGTTTTTACATATGCGAATTATTGCGAAAAATATTATTAAGGCCCTAATAGCCTGAAGGACACTCGCATGGAATGCAAAAGATCCGGATTTGATTCCTGGCTGAGGAAATATTTTTCGCAATAAGAATTATGGATTTTAATATCACTCAACATTATTAATATCATTTTAAGATGCGAAAAAGCATCAAATTATTAAATTGCTAGTGAATTTAACTCGTGATATTACTGCGGTAGTTTTGTAGTCTTTGCTTTTTCAAGACTGAAAAATTATTTTCGTGCGCATTTTAATGCAGTACATACGTAGTACATAATCACATAGAATTATACAAGCACTTAAGATCCAGTTAAACCGTTTAAGGCATTGATTTCTGATAGGTTGTGTTTTTCGCAGATACTGTTTCATCAGATTTAATATTGTTTTAAAGTTTTTTTTCTTTCTTTTTGGGGGGGGGGGGTTAATTGAATTTAGGAATTGATTAAGTTCTTGATGAAATGGAAATGGGTTTATCTTAAAAATAAATTTTGATTAGAAATTTAATCGGTAAATATATACATTCGGGGAGTCTTCCCTAATGACTTTGATTTTGATATACGTTGTCAAGGTCATAACTCTAAGTGACCTTGGAAAGGGTTTAGCCGGTGATAGTCCTTTAAACTGACAGTTGCTAACAGTCAGAGTTAGTAATTATTTTCCTATTTTCTTAATGAAGATTAAGCCAGGACACGAATGACCAAACGTGTATATTAAGGGTGCCAAAAACTATTAGGTGTTGGAATTAATTCGTAGCGTTTTACAAGTGATGGGAAGTACTTTCATTAATGTATTTTTTAATGCTCATGTGAAATAAATAACATTCTTTCATTAAAAACGCTACGAATTAATTCCAACACCTAATACTAACGTGTGTACTAAGGATTAATATTCTTCTATTAATAAATTTTAACTTTATTTTTTATGTACGTACACAATTCATCTATATATTAGATGGCTTTTTTACATTTTTTTTATTGATAGATTCTTTCGAGCCTTATTTTATATATTTGTTGATATTACATACGATATTACATACGATATTACATTAATAACATAATTACGTTATTACATTAAATGATACACGTCACTAAAATGACACTGCTAAGTTTTGAGAAAATTGGTATGAAAAATTATTTCATTAATTCCGTGACGAAATACTAAGAAGATTTTATTTTGTTTTATATTATATAAAGTCAAATTATGAATATATGGCTCGGTATTTAAAAAATAAAGTTATTTAAAGTATCTATACATCTTTAATAAAAAAGATAAAAGTATTCGAGAGCGAGTTAGAGCGAGAGCGATGGCGAAAAAATTTTGAGCTGAAGTTCGATTAACGCGAATTCTCTATCGCGGATCGAACGTGGCGGTTTTCTAGAGCGTCTCCAGTCTCGGGTTTGTCTCTCCATTTTTCTTAATATCAGAGATATGCTCGTGTAATCTCGTACTTAATTTTCTTTTAGTCTAACCAGCATAGCTCGCCTCACAATCGTCACAAGAAATCTTATCTTATATATCACGTTCCGATAGGAGATCTAACTTGTCTTTTCCTCTTTTAATAAGACCTTTTAATATGTTGGAGATAGCCAAGGCTAATATTTTAATTATCACACGTATAAAATCTAATATGTACATAAATATAGAAAAAAGAATATATATATATATATATATATATTGCCAGTATTTTGGACTTGTCATTATAATTAGCTGTCCTTATAATTAGATCTATGCACATTTACCTTATAGTACATAAGTCTGCGATACATGATGCAATTGATTATCCTGTTGGATATAATTGCATATTAAAATAGTAATAATTATTAGAAATTAATTATACATTCTGTGTGATGCAATTCGTGCAATTTACTAAAATGCAAGCAATAACAGGGATTTAAAACGTATATATGCATAATGTACTCTGCAAGCGAAAAGTCCTATACCGACTAAGATTTGATCGAAATGTATCAGATAAATGTACATTTATGAATCACATACATATTCACATATCATGTTACATATCTTTCATAGTCTCTTTTGAAGACTCGCTTTCCAAAAATATTTCATTAATGTTTGTTAGAACACAGGTAATATTTTTCATAATGCTGCACCTTTTATTCTATCCCATATATGATTTTCAAACATGAGAACCTAACCTGAACTCCATCACGTCCGTCTGATGGCGATTTCGTACTGCTTGCGAATGAATGATGAAACATATCAAAACAATGGAAAGATATTTTTTGCAGAGCCAAGCGCACGACACTATCGTGATTCCTTTTTCTCTTTTCGGTATATAAAAAGATATCTTTCAATCACTTTTACATTTTATCGAAAAGACAACCAGAAAAAGATGACGTAAAAGTACCTTTTTTAAGTTGTCTTTTCAACTAGAGGGCGTCTTATATAGTCATCTTTTCGTCTTGCTGAAAAGATAACCTAAAAACAATCATATAATATATATAACGGGTTTTGTAACGGGTGGCTGGTGTACCTTGTACGGAAGGCTTGCTCGCCGAGGCGGCATGTAATAACAATGACTCTCTTGATTGTAATAAGTGAGATTTTATTATAGAGTTGAATTAAGATTTATTTGAAGCACGGTAGTAAGCATTACTCGTGGTAATAATGTTGCGACAATTGAAGTTCAGCTCGATGCGTGCACCGGTAATTCGTACAACGTTCAGGGATTTCTCCTTCAAAAGGGTCTGTGTTGCGAGCCGTGACGAGACCGGCAAATCTCATTGGACCGGTAAGTCTCGCGCACTAAAACAGTCTCGCGTAGACCGATCACGTTATGTTATAACAAGTACTGGTGATACGCAATGACAAGTTGATTGGTTCGCGCAGATGCGTTAAACGCAAAGAGCGATTTATTGCTTCCATTCATACGATCCGGTTGCGAACTCACTCTTCTCACGCGGAGCGTGTGCGCGTTCGACAGTTTTCTGGATTGCGCAAGGGGATTCGCGTGCCATTCGAGACAAACAGTGTGATCAGTATAGGATCGAGGTATGCTCGTGTTTTGATTGCTTGCTATCGACGAGCTGTTTGCTTGCTTCGAGAATATAATCTCATAATATTAGATTATTTTTTGCCGTTTTATTTTTATTACTTACGACTCGTTTTGTACCTTTTTATTACTTGTGACTCGTTCTGTACTTTTCTTATTATTTTTAATTTCTTATTCCTGTGGCAAATTTTTTACATTTTGTACTTTTTAACAGAAACATGTTCTAATCTACATACACAAGCTAGAGGAATACCTTGTTGTCGATTACACTTGACAATAATCACAAATATACTGTGATTGAATATTATGTTTTTCTATGTATGCCATTAAGTCTTTTAAAAATGGAGATCCATCTATTTTTACTTTAAATTTATTAAATTGAAACACTTTTTTTGTGACAAAGTTTCTCACATGATACACAAGCATATCGAGGTGTGTCCATGGAACGTTTGGTATAAGTCTTAAATGCTTCCTTAAATTTATATTAGCGAGGAATTGCACCATTCAACCAATCGAACACACCGACACTCGAAATGTGCAGTCGGTGCGTCCCAGCCGAAATCGTACAAAAACGAAATTATCATGTTTCATAATTAAATATGTTTTATTAATAGTACAATAATATATATTGGGGATTGTACGATCTCAATTTTCAATACATTTTTGCGGCAATTGTGTATGACAGCTTATGTGCATTAGTGCATCCCAGTCGAAATCAACCCTTATTGAATTTTCGATAACCTCGATCTGACGTAACTCGCGTAAAGGAGGCACGTCTCGTGTCTCGCACCATAGCTTAGCACCGAGCTAACTATCAGTGTCATCAAATATTTGCAGAGGATCAGGCTGTATTTACATTGTCGATGCAAGTGTTCATACATCTAGGATTTGATTTGGATGTACCTTTTTGTCAGATATTATGTAATCGATGACTGATCTCTGGTCCCTCGAGAATGTTTTTATAGTACCATTTGGTAGAATATATTGTTGATTTTTAGTTCATTTTATGAGCAGAAAGCTATGAGCATCTCCGTTATCTTTAATTGTGTTTTCGTTAAATCGTCGCAT